TTTTCGTCTCTCTGATTTTCTTCTATTCAGTCGCACATATTCGGATGGCAGTCAAAAGAGAATTAGAAGTGTCTAGGCTAGAAAAAATGGACTGCATGTACCACTATTAATGGAGGAAACCCGGCCGTGGGCTTTCATTCATCGTATTCATTTATCATGGCCCCTGCTTGCACTTCTGTTAACTACAATAGAAGAAGTTCGTGAATAAATGAAAACGGCTAAGTACGAACGTACCTAATCAATTAATGTTCTTTCAGTTTCTTATAGAAGGAGAACTTTGTCTATCACTCGCTCATTTTATGATCTACTATTTATTTATAATTGCTTTCTCACTTTCAAACTCCTCTAGATATTCGTAAACTATTTTAGTTACATTTCCCACTGAAATTCTCTCAAAACAGTTCATGGCGATCGGGCTCTATTGATTCTATTTCTCGATCGTCTAAGTTCGAGTGCTTCTATTGCCTATCGTATTTGCATCGATAATCGACCTAAAAAAAAACGAAATATCAGACAGGAAAATGAGAAAATTCGCATTTCTTGTTTTGAACATTGACCATCTGAGCTCGCTGATCGCAGATTGTGAGTGATTCGTCGGACTAATCACATCTAGGGCTTGGGTGTTGATTCGGAGTGGTACCCTTCTTATCAGTCACACTCGCTCACATCCACATTCATCTAAGTTCCCTCAATGTAGTTTTTTTTCCTTAAATGAACAAGATCAGAACATTTTCTCAAAGATGTACCATGAATCATTTGATTCGTCTATATTTCACATTGATTTCTATCAACTATTTCGGTGCGACGCGCTCAATTGGTGCGATTCTTCGATCTTATAAAAAATGAAATGATTTATTTCCGTCCATGACAGCATCAGATTGAATTGAATCTATGATTTTATGATAAACTGGCGACTTTGCTTTTATTACGAGTATTGAAATTTATTCATTCAGCTAAAGTTTGTCAGCATATTATTAAGTTTCTAAAAGATTTAAATATAGTGTTTTATATTCTTAATGCATCGAGATTTTATAGCAAGTAATATTTTCATTCATCTTAATGATCATATACGTAATAAAGATATAGGTCTTGTTCGTGTATCTGAGCAAGAAACTAATGCATCAACGAATGGCTAGGCTAGTTTGTTTTTAATTATATTAATAGATAGAATTTGAATAAAAGTTATTTTTAGTATGTACATGACAGTATCGAGCACCTAGATTGATGCTTTTTGATAGAAATTATTCATCAGCAACGAATATATAATCAGTAAATTGCATTCTCGATGAACTTATCTTTGATCAACCATTATTCACTGGATGTCATGCTCTAGATCAATCGTGTCTTATTATTGAACATCATTGTGATTCATTAGATTTTCTTGCACACGAACATAAAATAGCTTATCCAACAATATTTAAAAAATCTTTAAATGTTTTTCATCGAATTTTAGCCCAGTGTTCTAATTCTAGTTCAAAAACTATTTTTACTGTCGATGAAGCGTCATTTGATTCACTTGATCGATTATTATTAATTGATTGAAAGTCAAAGTTTGATAAATCTCGACTACATGGATCTAACAGTGTGTTATGCTATATATTCACGATGTGATATTATTTGGGCCAAATGGCTATCATGATGGGTTCGTCATTAATATATACGTAGTCTGTACACATATTTCCACGTTCAGCACTGTGTTTAGATGCGAGAATGTGCCTAATCTGAAGAGCAATCTTTATTTTGATCTCAGTTGTGAAATGTTATACATGTTGTAACCTCGCATGACACATTACCACTAATTTTTCTTGTTTCATAAATCAAAAGTTTTCTAACGCTAATATTTCCAGCGATAGTTGACTACAAAGATTGAATCGAACGATGCAAGTTCCATCAAAAACTGTTATATCTTAAGAGAGTTACACATCAGACAAAATGAAAAATCTCTCGTAAATTCCAGCATGGTAATCAAATTTTCAAGTCGTGTTTCACTGCTTTCTATAAACATGGAATAATACAATTTTTCTTATCTTTTTACACAGTTTTGTGTCAATATTGATATTACTTCTTTGTCTTATCTCTACTGTTCTTGTCTGTGTTCATTTATCTCTCTTGCTCTTTCCTATATAAGAATGTGTATTATTTGAAGTATTCATATTCTGGAGATGTGAAGTACCTCAATAAACCTCATTATCAAGGGCGGCGATAAGCTACTCCACTGATTTGTCGTTACAGGTTTTATTTTCCATTGACTGACTTTCATTTAACATCATCTCGCCTATTTTTGGATAAATTTTCAATTTCAAAATTATTTTTAATTTGGCATGACAGAAAGTTGAGAAATGACTGTACATCTTATGTTCAGAAAAACAATTTAATAAAACTCACGATGAAAGATTCAATCAGTTTCATATTCGAAAAGTATAGACTACTTACTCTAAATTTGCCAGTTTCTGAAGTTTAAATGATACGAGAACAAATCTGTTAAACGAAATTTTTGATCAATAGATCATAGAAAAATTGGTCGTTCGAAACTTGTTCGTATAATATTTCGAGAACTGTTGGAGATAAAACCGTGATATTTTGTGTCGCAGTAAACACTTACAAAAGAGATCTAATCGAAAAAATCATGATGATTGATTCAGAGGAACTTGAGATATTAAACTTTCAAGCTTAAGAATATAACGCACAATAAAATTGGGTGAGCACGTGCGTATGGATGTCGAACTTTTCTTCACCCACGCATATGTGCACCCTTATTTTCACCTTCCTTTCCCATTCTAGGCACAGCCATCATCAATATAATACAAAACTGACTTTTGACAATCGAGGCTCACACCGTCTACGTCAGATATCTATTATCCTCATCTGATTTTTCGAAATATTGTGTGAAATTCTGTATAGATATATGTATTGTGTTTGCAATTTTTCTAAATTACTTTGAACAAATACGACAAAGTCAAAGTGATCTGATGACCGTCTTCATTGAGCAACGTGAAACCTGAATTTTGGCATTCGAGGCTGATACCTACCTAAACTCTTGTGAAAGTGTTTGAAATAGTTAAATTTCGCTAAAGTAAGTCAATTTATTCCATTATTAATGAAAATAGTCGAAAAGAAAAAACTAAGTAAGAAGAACCAACTTTGTCAGATTAGAAGAATAAGAGATTGAAGAATTTCTTCAAAAAGTGCTGATGCTTATGACCTTGAATTTGAATTGCTCAAAGTGAAAACTTAGTTATGGAAAGGATCACTAACAGTTCCAGTATATTATTTTGTTTAGAAAGAGTCAGAAATGTATCAAAGCTAATGAATAAAAGGCGCAAATTAGGTAGTCATTCGATTGTATCGGCTTTAACGCCTCGAGTCATAGGTATTATTGGCACAAAAGCTTTTGCTTATCTGAACTTGTGTAGCCTTGTGCTAGCAATTCATCAGGCTCAACTATAAAAGCAAGAATGAGTCCTGCATACATGTGCCACTCAATATGACAATGAAAGAGCCAAGCACCTGAATTATTGGCTAAAAATCGTATCTTAGCCCAACCTGAACCTGGTACACTCACTACATCTGGTTGTATATATGCTCCACGATACCGTTGTTTCGCTTGAGGATTTTCCGAAGTTGATATGATCCAAAAGCTATGACCATGAAGATGAAATGGATGTTCATCCTCATCTTTGTTCTCCAAACGTATGTCAACGACGGCTTGATATGGAACTAAGTAGTGTCCATTTTCATCACTTTGTACACTGGTAATGAACTTTCGTTTGTGATGATTGGAGATGGATTACCAAGTGCGTTAGGCGTTGTTATCATCTGATGGAGCAACGGTATTTTGTCCGATGTTATGCTTTGCACTGAAATCGATCTATTGCTAAGATTATTCTCATCAGAACCATACGTGACATTGTTAAGAAATCCACGAGTGATATTATTGGAATCTCGACGAAATGTGATGACAATGTTGAGAAAATGCGTTGCACAGGGAACTAGATTGTTTGTTTGACTACATGGTCGAGCACCTAAGATGTTGACATCTTGTCTGTTTACAAAATCTCTATTACTCAATCGTGAAGTTGCTTCATTAACCGGATATGTAGGCAAGGAATTACTTGAATCGAGTGATAAAATAGCTAGGTATAATGGATTGAGAAATATAGGATATGGAAGATATGGAGTTGCATAGGGAGCAATGTAGCTGCTAATATCAACTGGATACATATCCGTATCAGCTTTTAAATCGAATATAAATTGATTTTGTTGGTGGAACATCAGGGGGTACAAAATTTTGATCAAATTCATTGAGATTCACATAGAAAGAAACTCGTTGAGCAGCGTTTATCATAAAGGAAGACACTGTATATGGCACTACAGGTGTTTGATCAAGTTCAATAATATGTAATGGTAATCCATCGATTGAAACAGTATACATGGAAAATGCTGCAGCATTAATGATTCTAAAACGGATACGTGTTGCACCAGACGTCTTCACGAACAACGATTGAGAAAATTTACCATTTACAACGATAGCATCAGGTATGGGCTCAATACCTTTTGTATTATTTTTGCTTAAATACCAAGATAATAACTTTGTTCGTGCAACATCATTGTACCAATCAGATACAGTCAGTACACGTTCAGTATCATATTGTTCTTGATTTGGCTCTACTCGTCGACGAATAATCAACGGGCCAATAAGACCGTCTGCATATTGATCTAAATAGTGGCCATGGTACCATGCAGTGCCTGCAGGATAAGCTCTGAATCTGTATGTCATTTCACCAGAAGAAGGAATGGCACATTGCGTAGCACCTACCGCACCATCCATATCTGGTGTACCGATTTGAAAAATTCCATGCCAGTGAACAGTTGTCGGTTGTGCAAGTTTATTGATTACACGAATGACCAGAGTGTCGTTTTCATACGCTTCAATTGATGGACCCGGAAAATTATAATTCACTGCAACGATCGGCTTTTGTGATGGAGAATATGGCATTATTGTATCAATGATCAACGTCTGCGATATGGTAGCTCCTTCCGTTGTTATCGCAGACATCGCTGTTAGGAAAATCAGCAGAATTGACATGTGTTCCTTCTTTTCTTTGATAGGCTAAACAAAAAAAGACTGATAGATATTAAATGTTTTTTCTCACAGACATGATAGATAGCATGCACTCCAGATTATTCGAACTGGATCATTCGGAGGAGTTCAATAATATTGTACGAGTCTAGTCATCAATTATTAACTTTCAAGGAATTATTTAGCATCCTTTGAATCATATAAAACTTAAACTGGTTTTTACTTATGATTATTTCCCGCGACCGAAAAAAAAACAAAACAGAAGATTAGCACTGATGATGTTTTAAGAAAAATGCTCTTTTTCATGATCTATGTGCTCGTTTTCTATTCTTGAAAAATTCTCTGTAATTTTATCTTGATCATAACGTTTTGAGTGATACAAGCACGAAATGACTTGATTGTCTCACTTCTTCATTGTGACTTGAAAGTGTCCTAGATAATCTTACTAGTGTGTAGAATTCGAAAAAAGTAAATTTTTCTCATAAATTACTCTCACAGAAATATCATATCAATTGAAAAGTTCAGAAATTAACGTAATTACCACTAAAGTGATCGAAATGAACCGTTCCAAAACACATCACTATTGTGTAAATTTCGGTGATGACCGAAATTTTATAGTGATTTTCCATAAGATGCTGCTTGTTGTTTTTGATGGATTACTATGCTACGCTCTTGGAAATCTAAATGTATCTTGCATTTTGAAGACATTGACGTTAATGTTTATATAATACTAATTTTTACTACATTTGTCTTTCGATGAACAAACAGAAAAGAAAAGATATGCTTCAAACCGGCACCGAACTCATGACCGTTTACTCGTTATCCGGATCAGTGCTCTAACCACTCAATCATTGAAGCACGACGATCATGTACTTCCTTTCTAAATGATATTTAATCATCGAGGGTTTAGTTAAGTCGACACGATATGTACGACACACTTTTATATAGCGAAGCTATTTCTGAATCAAGTGCAGATGCTGGTGATTTTTTTCCTTTCTCGAGAGTGAATATGATTATTCGAAGGACATAAAAGCAGTATATGTAATATTTATACAATACTGGTTTTTTGCTTCTTCGAACTTCCGATGATTAAATGTCATTCAGAAAGAAAATTTATGTTCCTCGTGTTTCGATAGCCAAGTAGTTAGAGTACTGGTTCGAATAACTAGTAATCGATCATTGGTTCAATTTCCGTTTGAGCAAATGTTTTCTTATCTATATATTCATCGAAAATCAAAGGAAGCAACAATAAATATTATATTTACAGAACCTAATCTCTGCTGTTCATGTCGTATAGAATTTCGAAAAGTTCTCCCGCTCCCCTCTCCCCCTGCTCAAGCAAAACAATCGTAATGACACGAAAATAACACTATACAAGACTAATGGTTTTCCTATATGACACAATAACTTGCTCGAGAGTCACTACTACAAGCGGCTCTTTAAGAGACAACACATTCGAAAAACAGATCTTTACTTGTTGGATGTGTGAAAAATCTTGTAAGTTCAAGGCCAGGTTGATAGTGAAATTTAACGTCGTTTTTCTATGAATAAGAACACACCATTACCATGATTATATATAATATGTCGAGTCACCTTCGATTTCGCGCATTTCATCCGTGTAAATCACTTGTATGACTATGTGACACTCATGATGTACTTCCTTTCTAATATGGGAAAAATACAATCATGATCATTTTGTCTGCTCAGCCT